CGGTGAATCAACATTGTTTGATGGTCATTAATTAATTAACAAAACAAACATATCGTGTTTAACCCATTCAACACCGCAGGCCGAATCATCGGCCACAACGTTATGAAAAACGAAAGTTTTCGTTGACGAGGACGGTATCCATTGCCGTAGTATGATTGGCTGCCTTAGGTCACATGTCTGATTTTGACCAATAACTATCCTTATAGCAGACTGTGGCAAAAGCGTCATTAGAAACCAATCTTTATCCAATAAAATCGCTTTTTACAACTGTGAAAATACTCTCGGCAAGGGTACAGTGATATTGTTGATGTTCCAGAGCTGTCGAACGATACCAGACACCACACGATTCGCCTCGCATGTTATTCATACGAAGCTTCGAAAACGGAGGTATTTCCCGTTGTTGTGTCATGTTAACGAACGGAAAGCCTGATTACATAAAAATGAAAATATAAAAGAAAAAAGCACGGGCATGTTATGACATGTCACAAATGGAAAGAAAATCGCTACAGTTTTTGCTTCTTTCGTGGTTTATCTGGACATTATAAATGTAAGCTTGCATTTTCATTAAAAAATAAATTTATTTAAGTTGTAGTTGTATTATTTCAATTTTATTATAAAAATAAACTTCATATTTATCAACATGATATAGGTAATGTCTGTGAATGTCTACATCTCTACAATCCAAGATGGCGGTCAAATGTGAATAACGAACAACGGATATAGCAAACTAAATTTCTTGGTCCCTTGGAGTTGTTATATCCGTGTTCTACTGTACTTCATTGTGTTAGGTACTGACAAGCAGATTTGGTCATAATTCCTTCCGATTGTGAAAATAAACCACTATCAGTCAACACATGAAGATCTTGACATACCCTCGCGTCATAGGTTTCCATGGTATTAAGAAATTTACGACTATAAATATGATTGCTCATATTGCCAAGTCATATAAACATAACATAGTGTTAGACGACATACCTTTGTAATAAAATTGTATCATTTAATGTCAATAAAACACTTTTCCCATTCTGAGGTTCATTGTTGTCTGTATCTGACGACAGGCGACCATTGTGCACAAACTCTGGTGACGTCATATGTTTCCGTGGTATTTCCTACAGATCAAATTACGGGCGCACAGCACATGTCACAATCTCACACATTGTCAACAGCCAATCCGGGGGTGTCAGTGTAGGTTTACAGTAATAACAAAGTTGATAAATTGTAATACAGTCAACGATTTTGTAGAATTAATACAATAGTCACATTTCTTCAGCATAAATTTCCAGTTCAGAAAATATGTAGAGTTGATCAACGGGATACGTGAAATGAAAAGTGAAAAAACAACTTAAGAGATGACCCTGTCGGGCTTCCATAGTTTAAACAATAGAGCTGGGATTCCCCCCTTAGGTCACGTGATTGTTTTTATTGATGACATCAGCAAGCAGACGAGCGATGTTTGGAAAACTGAAGCTGAATAAGTTTATAGAAAATGTTTGTAAATATCGCACAAAAAGTGCATTATGTGCAAGACATAAAGTTGCATTAGTTTTTAATAGTAGATGACTGTACGCACGCAAATTGATGAAAGTCTGAACATGTTTTGCTCAGAACCCTTGCCGATCGACTGATGAACGTAAACAATTGATAGGTGGCATGATTTGGTGAGTGGCTCGTGAGAAATTATGTCATTTGAAAATACCATGGAAAAGTAAGTACCACGGAATCATATGATGGCATAGTACATGACGCCTCTACCAGTCTGAATGTGCCGCTATTGAGAAAGGTAGCCGAGAGCAGCGATGCGGTCCTATACAGTCAAGACATGACCCTGCGATGCAGATTGGACGCAGGTGCGATATGGGTGCGATGCAGGGTCATGTCTTGACTCTATAGGACCTCGCCAGCGGCTGTCGGCTATTGAGAAAGGTAGCCGAGTCGCGATGCGGTCCTATACAGTCAAGACATGACCCTGCAATGCAGATGGGGACTTGAGGTGCGATATGGGTGCGATGCAGGGTCATATCTGACTCGATAGGACCGCATCGTGGCTCTCGGCTATTGAAGAAAGTAGCCGAGAGCCCGATGCGGTCCTATACAGTCAAGACATGACCCTGCAATGCAGATGGGACGCAGGTGCCATATGGGTGTGATGCAGGGTCATGTCTTGACTCTATAGGACCGCATCGTGGCTCTCGGCTATTGAGAAGTAGCGAGCAGCGATGCAGTCCTATACCGTCAAGACATGACCCTGCAATGCAGATGCGATATGGGTGCGATGCAGGGTCATGTCTTGACTCGATAGGACCGCATCGCTGCTCTCGGCTATTGAGAAAGGTAGCGAAAGCAGCGATGCGGTCCCTATACAGTCAAGACATGACCCTGCGATGCAGATGGGACGCAGGTGCAATATGGGTGCGATGCAGGGTCATGTCTTGACTCTATAGGACCGCATCGCAGCTCTCGCTATTGAGAAAGGTATCTGAAAGAAGCGATACGGTCCTATACAGTCAAGACATGACCCTGTGATGCAGATGGGACGCAGGTGCAATATGGGTGCGATGCAGGGTCATGTCTTGACTCTATAGGACCGCATCACTGGCTCTCGGCTATTGAGAAAGGTAGCGAGAGCAGCGATGCGATCCTATACAGTCAAGACATGACCCTGCGATGCAGATGGGACGCAGGTGCAATATGGGTGCGATGCAGGGTCATGTCTTGACTCTATAGGACCTCATCGCGGCTCTCGGCTATTGAGAAAGGCAGATCAATATGCAATATTAGGGATGTTTTTAATAGATTTGACATGCATCTTTTATCTCTCAGTGTTTGTTATAAGCATTGATGAATTTGTTAATTGATAATCCTTATTGCATAACTGATTTGTTGATTGGTTGCTGATAAGTAGAGTATACATGTTACTGCTTGGGGTTGTGGTCAAAAGGGCCAAAGGACAAAAGTGCCAAAATTGAAAAGTCTAAAGGACCAAAGAAAAGTCGAAAGGGCCTAAGGAATGTCAAAAAGGCCATAGATTTAAGTCAAAAGGGCCAAAGATCAAATTCAAATAACATACAAACTAATATATATTTTATATGTTTTATTATATTTGTATCAATATGGAGTAAGAGACCGTTCATAATTAATGGCTACAATGTGTACGTGTACAATGTGAATGACACACACACACCCTAATAATTATGTAGAAAGTAAGTGACCCCCCTCCCCCCTGCATGTCATGTACAAAATCAATGACCCCCTTTCCCAGAATTTTAAGCATGATTCTTTTTAATGTTTTTATGTATACTAGGCACAAAAAATAAGGGAACCCCCAAGTGGAATTTATAGTTGAAACAATGCTACATAAAAGTTGCAAGCTGATTGCATTCGAACCCAGATTGGAAATCAATAACGGCTGACAGGACAGTCAGCTCCATATTACCTTTACATGATACATGTGCATCATGCACCACACGTGCATTCTAGCCTATAAAACTGACGGTAAGCGTGTCCCACTATCTCTTGTGAAAATGCCACCTCGACGGTACCTGAAAAACGCACAGAAATGGCATGATAGAAGGTGGGCAATCTTAGAGTAGTGTTGCCCGGTTCTTCAGGAAGTCCAAAAGCGTTATTTCCCGTCTCATCAACCTTTACCGTCAAACGGGGCGTTAAAATGAGGACCGGTCGAGGATGACGCCCTAAAATCACCCCCAGACAAGACAACTTCCTGAGAACTATAGCTCTGAGGAATCGATTTGTCACAGCCCTGGATTTGAAGATGGAATTCTTCAGAGCCACAGGAACACGGATTTCGAACTCTACTGTACGAAACAGGCTCCGTAGCAGAGGTCTTATATCAAGACGTCCATTCAAAGGCGTGACCATGACAGCTAACCGCAGACGTCTTCGTTATCAGTGGGCTCAGCAACATCAGAGGTGGGGAAACTGTCAATGGCGACAGTCGATGTTTAGTGATGAATCCCGCTTTCGTTTGCGATTCACGGATGGACGATTGTGTGTGGCGACGCCGAGGAGAGCGTTATGTGAGACCCACAGTACAGGAACACGATTCTTATAGGGGCTGCTCTATCATGGTCTGGGGAGGACTTTCTTTCAATAGGAGGACTGATTTGATTCTTGTACGGGGGTAATTTGACAGGCCAGCGGTAAACGGACGAGATCTTATGGCCACACGTTGTTCCAATGGCTCACAGGGCAGGTCGAAGTTTGATGTTTCAGAACGATAATGCACGTCTTCACAGTGCTCGTGTTGCCGTGAACTTCTTGCAACAACAAGGTGTTACAACTTTACCCTGGCCGGCTAAAACACCAGATCTATCCCCTATCAAACATCTGTGGGATGTGTTAGTGCGTCGAGTGCATCTCAGGGAGCCTGCACCAGCAAATCTTGATGTGTTAGGTAGAGCACTGCAGCAAGAGTGGCACGTGATTCCACGGGCGACAATTCAGCGGTTGGTGTCCAGCATGCCTGCATGGTGTCGTGCATGTATTGCTGTTCATGGTGGACACGCTCGTTATTAAGTACATCTGACATACTTACCGTACGGTTGATTAAATTATACATGCTTCACAAAGTCAAGGGGTTCCTTTATTTTTTTGTGCCTAGTATATAAAATTGTGTTGTGAAAGTGTGAATGTATGTAGATATAATGCATTCTTAACGCTTCGAAAAAATTATAATAAATATATTCCATTCCTGTGAGAATGATGCAAATTACTGAATGAAAAAAATATATATGTATGTTAGTTCCCATTTATAATTCATTTTGTCCTAAAAACTATGTTGAAAGCGAAATATATAATATATTGAATGCAAAAGTGCTTTCATAAACTGGCACTTGCTATAAGCGCACCTCCACCGTTAATGTTTAGCACTCAAACTCCCTACAGTGCTGGGCTTACTCAATGACAATGAGCATAGAGATGACAGAACACTGAGAGGAGCTTAGGCTCATGCGATAATAACACTCTTCTTTGTTTTTTAGGACTGCACATTTTTTACGCAAAAAGAGATCTTGAGGTAAGTTATGTACTATAATGTCATTATTGTGATGAGCGTGTTGTAATGATACCATATTATGATCAGCGTGTTGTAATGATACCATGGAAAGAAACATTGAAATGTCATATGTGTACGTTTCCTCAATGAATTATCATTGCGTATGTTTCTGTGCAGGGTGTTCAAACGCTTCCAGATGTTGGATCCTGATCAGATTCCTTTTGACATGACTGGTAGTGAGACGAGGACACTTAAGATCCCAGTGGAAACCATAGAAAGCATGTCGGAACTGAAGGTACGCTGTTGGTTGAAGAAAAGGAAATCTCTTCAGCCATAAATAAAAAGTGGTGTAAAAAAGGAGGATCTGGATCTGCCTCTAGTGTGGACTTTTATCATTGATTATTAGCTAAGGTCACAAACTAAGTACTCAAGCCATCTTTGAATTGGGGGCTAAAGTCACAGACAGCAAAAGTCCTTGTTGCATCATGTATTTTCTAAACAAAAAGCTGAATTCCAGCTCTGCTAGTTTATGTTCTGAGTCCAATTCTTACATCTTTCAAATATTGTCGGAGAAGTGTGCAGTAGAATAAAAGTTAGTGCCTCACCATGTTAACTACCAAGTGCATAGCAAATAAGTCAACCGTGACTTGTATTTTGTTATTAGAAGCCCGTTATCATGACATGGCCTCCTAACCCAGCAAGGAATGTTTATTTGAATATGTTTTGTGAGATAAGTTTAGTCAAGATAAACTGGTAGGTATGTGAGGGAGTTTCCTTGTCACGTCATGTAGCACATCCATGACATCATTTCAGGATTTTACAAGGGGCAGTGGGGTAGCCTAGTGGTTAAAACGTTGCTGGTTACACCGAAGATCTGGGTTTGATTCCCCACATGGGTACAATGTGTGAAGCCCATATCTGTTGTCCCAGGCTGTGATATTGCTGGAATATTGCTAAAAGTGGTGTAAGACTAAACTCACTCACTCACTGTTAAACCAACCTGATACACTCTCTGAGAGGTGCTCAAGGGTAAACACATCCATGGCATCATTTCAGGTTTTTGTTTCAGGACTTGGAGTATTGCTGTTGACATCCTCTAGTCAGATTGGTGTTGACATCCTCTAGTCAGATTGGTGTTGACATCCTCTAGTCAGATTGGTGTTGACATCCTCTAGTCAGATTGGTGTTGACATCCTCTAGTCAGATTGCTGTTGACATCCTCTAGTCAGATTGGTGTTGACATCCTCTAGTCAGATTGGTGTTGACATCCTCTAGTCAGATTGGTGTTGACATCCTCTAGTCAGATTGGTGTTGACTTCTAGAGTGACTTGCCAATGCTCATGATACTCTTGCAGGAGAATCCTTTCAAGCGCCGCATCTGTGAAGTGTTCTCGGAGGATGGCAGTGGGAGCATGTCGTTCGATGACTTTCTGGACATGTTCTCCATCTTCAGCGAGGCTGCACCTCGAGACATCAAGACCGTCTACGCATTCAGGATCTATGGTACAGTAACACCAGTTGTTGTAAGATGGAGATGACGCTTCTTTGATGCAGGTCTTAGATGGTTGTAGTAAATGTATGCTAAGTTTGATAAGCCGACCACCCAATCATGTTCTTTGGCTCTTCTGACAAGCATTGGTAGCTGAAGACCACTTCTCTAACCAAGATCGTCACAGGGGTATGTCAATTAGATGTGAGAGACGAGATCATTATTCATTCTAGTTGATAACTACTACATAATCCTTTCATCCATATGTGAAGAAACATCTGTTTGGCTAAACTTTACTGTTCTTCTCAACTCAGATTTTGATGGCGACAACTACTTGAATCGAGAGGATCTAGAGAAGACACTGTTTTGTCTGTCAGGGAAGGAGCTGTCTACAGAGGAGGTGACATTTGTTGTGGACAAGGTTAGATCATTTCTCTTGTCAGTCAAGTGAAACAGGAACTACTATATACAGAACTTTGGTGACAAATGGAATGATACCTGATGTGAGTTTTATGTGATACAGTCTGACTCCAGGGAGGTACCCGCTTGTTTTGAAGGACTTTCATCATTGATGCCTGAGATGAGTGCAGGGTCTTGGGTGTCCCAGAATCTAAGGTGATGCCTGAGATGAGTGCAGGGGCTTGGGTGTCCCAGAATCTAAGGTGCAGCAGTTTGCTGTGCAGCGTTGCATCCCTTGGGTACATCAGCAACCATAGATAGCATGGGTTTATATCATGATTTGACCTGATTATGATTCTAGGTATGTCAACCAGTGTGTGGAATAGTTTCCACAATTTTTAAACTTATCTTATATCACAGCTTGCACCTCTCTTTCTTCCTTCGACACTGAGTGGAACAACTGTAAACTTTTTCCCTTGGCCTCTTGTTCACTCGCCCATGTATCTCGTGCTGCTCTCGTTAATGGACAACTTACCACAATCCATGCGAGGCATTCGACACACTCCTCAGCTACCCACAGGACTACTGCTCACTCATCATTCTCTTTCTCGTCACGTCCCTGGTTGGACGTACTTGTAAACGTTGAATACTTCAAGTTCCCTTCCTGATTGTTTTTTCCACTATGGGGAAATCGCAAGATGATTGTAAGCGCAACTTTTGTGCTCAATGTAAGAAGACTTTGAGATTGGATCCGCACAGTTTGTGCGTGGTCTGTGTAGGGTTATGCGAGGCTGATAATTGATGCAGTATATGTTCCCGGCTGTCAAGTGAAGATTTTGAAGCATACAAACTGGTATGTTCACGTCGTTTACTGACCGGGCAAAGAATGCTTCCTCTGAATGTAGCCCATCAAGTGCAAAGAAAATTCGCATTCAGCGACCAACTTTAACCCCGGAAGCGGTTACTATTGCCTCCCTCGGGAGTGGAAGATTTCTTGGCCATTTCGTCTGACTCGTACTTATCTGAAGACTTGAAGAAGTTGCTTGGCTCACATTCGTCTCCTCTTAAGTCTGTGTCCTCTAGAGTGGTGGTAATTGAACGACCAAATCTGTCTCTCTCGCCTACTGAATCGTTACCGACAGGGGAGGAAGGAACAGCCGTGGTAGAGCAGCGCTCCCCCCCTTGCGAGTTGATTGAAGTCGGTTGTTATCCCTGCCACGCAGAGAACTTCTCATCGTTCTAGGACTCCAAAGCGTTCGTCGCACAGTTTATCACGTTCAAGTTCATCTGACCATGCGGAACAGCCTCACCACAAGCGATCTCATTCGCCTCAGAAGAATGGGAAGAAGAAACGTCACCATGCCGGCTTGTCTGATCGAATTGACCCGAGTCATGCTTCGCCGAATGGTTCAGTGTCTCATTGCCGAAGTGGTTCGGCACAACGAACTGGTTCACCGCAGTATGATTACCGTGTGGACTCACCTCAGGTTGCTGTTTCTCCCACGTCTGAGACCTGTCCAAGAAATAATTCACAGCAGCAATCTGGTTCTCCTCAGCCTTCCCTTGCCAGTTCGATAGGACGAATGGATTCACCGAATCCTCGCTGAACTAGTTCGTCTAGCCGATCTAGATCACCGCATCAACAATGAACCAGTTCATCTTGCCGAACTGATTCAACTCGCAAACGCCGATCCAGTTCCACGAACCGATCTGTTGCACCTAGGTCTATGGAACCAAGTCGCCGAACTGGTTCAGCTAGCCTATCTGGTTCACTTTTTCGTACTGGTTCAACACGTCGCGCTGTCAGCCGAACAGGTTCGTCAGATCAACCAGGAGGGATACACCCATACGCCATCATGCCAGTTCTTCCCATCGTACGGCAGTACCTCGTTCTGATTCTCCTGGTTATCGTCATCATTCCTGTTCATCTGGCAGAGGCACTTCACCATCTTGGAATACCTCTTCAGTTCACACTGATTCTCATTACCGAACTAGTCCTTTTGATGCCCCTAGGACTCGGATCCCTACGGGAATTGTACATCAAACTGGGTTGTCTGGTTGAACTGCTTCTTATCCACCCAATACTTCGCCGAACCGCTCAGAGTGTTATGGGACCCGGTTGTCTCACCATGATGTTTATCATTCACACTCTCGTTCGCCTCATACAGTGGGTACCAGGGTGCATACTGACTATAGCAGGTTGATTGGGTCTCGGCCCTCAGTTCGTCTTCACTCACCACCTGCATCTCTACTCCTGTCCGGTCTCGTTCGACTGATCATGCAGTGCGCGTTCCTGAAGATCCTTCCCAGCTCATTCCGAGACGTCCACACAGGATGGCAGTGTTGATTTGGTGGATGCTTCACATGTGCTGGCTTGGATTACTTCAACTACCACTTAGTAGTATTCCCGACGATCTTCGTAAGACATACACTCTTAAGGGTAGGGATCTCGCATCTCTGACGCTTTCCCCTCGGACGTGCATTCTTCAAATGGCTGAAGGTCAAGAATCTAGGGGTTATTCTCAATGAAAATCTGAAAATGGACAAGCAGATCTCCAACATCATTAGCACGGCCTGAGTGCTGAGTGCTGATGCTACTTCAAAACTTGTCCTATCTCTGGTCATGTCCCGAGTAGATTACTGCAACAGCCTCCTCAACAACGTCAACAAAGATCAGCTACGTCGCCTTCAAGCCCTCCAAAACACTGCTGCAAGAATCATTACAAAGTCTAAAGTCTTCGATCACATTACTCCAATTCTAAACGATTTACACTGTCTACCTATCACCGCAAGAATTGACTACAAAACTATTGTAATGACGTACAAGTGTCTCAACGGAATGGCCCCTGACTATCTCGCAGAGTTACTGCCCCTGTATCAGCCCTCACGCTCACTGAGATCACAAAACCAAATGCTAGTGACAGTGCCAAACATCAAAACCAACTTTGGCAAAAGGTCGTTCACTTTCAATGCAGCAATGAAGTGGAACGCACTACCGCTTGAACTCAAAACCAGCGAGTCACTAACATCTTTTAAGACTGGCCTCAAAACATTTCTTTTCAAGTGTCAATTTCCATCTTAAGCGCACAGAGCATTTATTAGTGAATGATGCGCTATATAAATGCAATTATTATTATTATTATTATTATTATTATTATTAAAGGAGCGAGGGTCAATTTGATGTTGTTTGGAACTGAACGTTAAAACTTTGAGTTTTCCGATTCAATTTGTTTGTCACCCTCTAATCGATGGTGGCTGATGGGTTGTCTCGAAGCAGGGGCTGTTCCGATTACTGGTTGCAAAACTGTAATTCACGGAGGTACCTTGAAAATCGTGGTGACGCGAGGTCTACTTGCTGAGCTATGTCCCTTCATTTAAGAAGATTGCGGCCGAACACCAAATCGATCGGGAGCACCCATCTCCCTGGGAGTCTTTGTGCTTAGTAAGCCAGGGTGTCAGGAGACCCATCAAAAGCATGCTGCGTGCATGGGTAACAGGCCTCCCTTGTGCATCGCTATCTACGGTTGTCTTCAGGAGTATACAACTCTTGTTGTTCTTTTCTGTACAGACTTAGGGTAATCTGCAACCCGCCGTCCAACCGTGGGATAAGTGCAAGCCGTGAGATAAAATAAGTTTAAAAATACTTATCTTATCTCACGAGATGGATTCCCGCCCATCTCCCGCCCACCTCCCCTCTACTCAGATTACAGTGACGGCTCCGAGAATGAGAATGATGAGTGAGCAGTAGTCACGTGGGTAGCTGAGGATCGTGTCACATGCCTCGCATGAATTGTGGTAAGTTGTCCATTAACGAGTAGAGGCCCAGATAAGCTGTGTAGCCGGGTAAAATACGCATAGAAAATTTCGAATTACGCATTGAAAAATAATTGTTGCGTTCCAATTGCGCATTAAATATGTTAGATTCGCAAATGTTTAAAACAAATGCGTACGGAATATATTTATAAAAATCACTTGCATAATTAAAAAGACATCGATTGCTATCAAGTTGTACTGTTAGTATAGGACAAGTGTTGTACTGTCAGTATAGGACAAGTGTTGTACTGTCAGTATAGGACAAGTGTTGTACTGTCAGTATAGGATGAGTGATTTTTTATGGAATCATTTCGATTATATTTAAGTTGGTTTTGATTAGGTATGACATGAAGCAGAACATACCTGCTTAGTAAACTTGCTTAATGACATGATACTTAGGTGAGTAAAATGACTGAAATACGCACTTATTTGGAAGCAGTGGGTAATGGAAAATGAAATACCCATTCAACATTCATAATACCCACTCCAAAAATGTACAGTGGGTACAGTACCCACATGAGCTAAATCTTATCTGGAGCTCTGAACGAGAGCAGCACGAGATACATGGGCGAGTGAACAAGAGAGGCAAAGGGAAAAAGTTTACAGTCGTTCCACTCAGTGTCGAAGGAAGAAAGAGAGGTGCAAGCCGTGAGATAAGATAAGTATATAAATATACAATTTATAGTTAAAATTTCAAATTTGGCTAGTCAGTTGGGCTAGTTATGCATGAAAGTTACTAGCCCATAAGATAATTCACTAGTCTGAAATGTGAATGTAGACACGGGTTTCATAATTTTGTTGCTAATATTAATGGACATTTTCATCAGGCCATAATCTAACGTCATTTAAAAGTGTGTTATATCTGAACAAGTCAGAGAATGTGACATATCTACAAAAAGAAAATTCACTAGCCAGTCAGGCCAGTGACTGCGGAGATTTACTGGCCCGACTTGATTTTTACTAGCCTCGGGCTTGCGGGCCAGTGGCTATATCGCACACTGAGGTCAACTCCGATTGTGGGTATTCCCTGAAAGGTTAACGCCTAACACATGCATCACTCAGACTTTCCCCCATATCAGGCTGACATTCCATGCTATAGCTGCAGCACAGATTCATTAAAGCCAATTCACTCATCTGACTGCTGCTGATGGTGCTATGTGGGATGTGTCAGCAATATTGCAGACTTTATGACTGCTTCACTACTGTTTTTCATAGTGTATGGTTTACTGTATGTAATCACATGGTGACAGCAGTGTGTACATGCAAGATGTCTTGGGATTGGAGTTGTGTTTCCTTCTATCTCAGCATGTAGTTATTAGCTCACCCTGACAGTGATTTTATGGATGATATTATTGACCTGCAAGTTTACTGTTATATGGACATTATCTCACCCTGATAGTGATGCTATGGATAATATTAGTGAGTTGAAAGTTTACTGTTATATGGATATTACCTCACCCTGACAGTGATGCTATGGATGATATTAGTGACCTGCAAGTTTACTGTTATGTGGACATTATCTCACCCTGACAGTGATGCTATGGATGATATTATTGACCTGCAAGTTTACTGTTATATGGATATTACCTCACCCTGACAGTGATGCTATGGATGATATTAGTGACCTGCAAGTTTACTGTTATGTGGACATTATCTCACCCTGACAGTGATGCTATGGATGATATTAGGGGCGGTGGGGTAGCCTAGTGGTTAAAGCATTGCCTCGTCACGCCGAAGACCCGGGTTCGATTCCTCACATGGGCACAATGTGTTAAGCCCATTTCTGGTGTCCCCCGCCGTGATATTGCTGGAATATTGCTAAAAGCGGCGTAAAACTAAACTCAGTCAGTCAGTGGATGATATTAGTGACCTGCAAGTTTGCTGTTATATGGACATTATCTCACCCTGACAGTGATGACATTGATGATATTAGTGACCTGCTAGTTTACTGTTATATGGACATTATCTCGCCCTGATAGTGATTATATGAATGATATTAGTGACCTGCAGGTTTACTGTTATATTGACATTATCTCACCCTAACAGTGATGCTATGGATGATATTAGTGAGTTGAAAGTTTACTGTTATATGGACATTATCTCACCCTGATAGTGATGCTATGGATGATATTAGCGACCTGCAAGTTTACTGTTATATGGACATTATATCATCCTGATAGTGATGCTATGGATGATATTAGTGAGTTGAAAGTTTACTGTTATATGGACATTATATCATCCTGATAGTGATGCTATGGATGATATTAGTGACCTGCAAGTTTGCTGTTATATGGACATTATATCACCCTGATAGTGATGCTATGGATGATATATGTGACCTGCAAGTTTACTGTTACATGGACATTATCTCACCCTGATAGTGATTATATGGATGATATTAGTGACCTGCAAGTTTGCTGTTATATGGACATTATATCATCCTGATAGTGATGCTATGGATGATATTAGCGACCTGCAAGTTTACTGCTATATGGACATTATATCATCCTGATAGTGATGCTATGGATGAAATTAGTGAGTTGAAAGTTTACTGTTATATGGACATTATATCATCCTGATAGTGATGCTATGGATGATATTAGTGAGTTGAAAGTTTACTGTTATATGGACATTATATCACCCTAACAGTGATGCTATGGATGATATATGTGACCTGCAAGTTTACTGTTACATGGACATTATCTCACCCTGATAGTGATTATATGGATGATATTAGTGACTTGCAAGTTTACTGTTATATGGACATTACCTCACCCTGATAGTGATCCTTTGGATGATATTAGTAAGTTGAAAGTTTATTGTCATATGGACATTATCTCACCCTGATAGTGATGCTATGGATGATATTAGTAAGTTGAAAGTTTACTGTTGTATGGACATTATCTCACCCTGACAGTGATGCTATGGATGATATTAGTGACCTGCAAGTTTACTGTTATATGGACATTATCTCACCCTGACAGTGATGATATGGATGATATTAGTGACCTGCAAGTTTAATGTTATGTCCTGTTAAGTCCTTGTTGTTAGGTGTGTAGGTTCATTGTTAAATCAGAATGATCTCACCCTTATATTGATGATATGGAGGAGTTGCAAGTTAACTGTTATGTCTGACAGTGATAGTGATGATATGGTTCTTTGTGCAGGTGTTGGAGGAGACTGATTTAGACGATGATGGATCATTGTCTTACATTGAGTTTGAACATGTCATCTCTAGTGCACCGGACTTTCTCAAGTGAGTTGAAATGATGAGCAGGTGTTACCTTCATCCTGGGGGTTGGGTGGCGGTGTGCTGTCGACAATAACAATCACTGTTCACAATAACAGTCACTGTTCACAATGACAGTCACTGTTCACAATAACAATCACTGTTCACAATAACAATAACAGTCACTGTCCATAATAACAATCATTGTTCACAATAACAGTCACTGTCCACAATAACAGTCACTGTCGACAATGACAGTCACTGTTCACAATAACAATCACTGTTCACAATAACAGTCACTGTTCACAATAACAGTCACTGTTCACAATAACAATCACTGTTCACAATAACAGTCACTGTTCACAATGACAGTCACTGTTCACAATAACAATCACTGTTCACAATAACAGTCACTGTTCACAATAACAATCACTGTTCACAATAACAATCACTGTTCACAATAACAGTCACTGTTCACAATAACAGTCACTGTTCACAATAACAATCACTGTTCACACTGTTCACAAACAGTCACTGTTCACAATAACAGTCACTGTCCACAATAACAATCACTGTTCACAATAACAGTCACTGTTCACAATAACAAGTCACTGTCTGATAGTGATGATATTGATGATATTAGTGAGTTGCAGGTTTACTGTTATATGGACATTATCTCACCCTGATAGTGATGCTATGGATGATATTAGTGACCTGCAGGTTTACTGTTATATGGACATTATCTCACCCTGATAGTGATGCTATGGATGATATTAGTGACCTGCAAGTTTACTGTTATATGGACATTATCTCACCCTGACAGTGATGATATGGATGATATTAGTGACCTGCAAGTTTACTGTTATATGGACATTATCTCACCCTGATAGTAATGCTATGGATGATATTAGTGAGTTGAAAGTTTATTGTTATATGGACATTATCTCTCCCTGATAGTGATGCTATGGATGATATTAGTGACCTGCAGGTTTACTGTTATATGGACATTATCTCACCCTGATAGTGATGCTATGGATGATATTAGTGAACTGCAAGTTTATTGTTATGTCCTGTGGTCTCCTGGTTGTTAGGTGTGTAGGTTCATTGTCAAATCAGAATGATCTCACCCTTATATTGTTAATATGAAGGAGTTGCAAGTTAACTGTTATGTCTCACAGTGATAGTGATGATATGGAGGAGTTGCAAGTTAACTGTTATGTCTCACAGTGATAGTGATGATATGGTTCTTTTGTGCAGGTGTTGGAGGAGACTGATTTAGATGATGATGGATCATTGTCTTACATTGAGTTTGAGCATGTCATCTCCAGAGCACCGGACTTTCTCAAGTGAGTTGAAATGATGAGCAGGTGTTACCTTCATCCTGGGGGTTGGGTGGCGGTGTGCATTAAGGCCAACTGAATTAAGGGTGACACCTATAATGTAGATGACTCTTCACAATAACAATCACTGTTCACAATAACAAACACTGTTCACAATAACAGTCCCTGTTCACAATAACAGTCACTGTTCACAATAACAATCACTGTCCACAATAACAATCATTGGATTGTTGGTGTCAGATTTGAGTTTAGTTTTACGATGCACTCAGCAATATTCCAGCTATATGGCGGCGGTCTGTAAATAATCGACTCTGTACCAGACAATCCAGTGAACATGAGCATCGATCTACGCAATTGGGATACGATTACAACCAAGTCAGTGAGCCTGACCACTCGATCCTATTTGTGGCCTGTGTCACATTTGATTGTTTACAGGCCCAAGTAATATAGCTTAAATGTTGCTCAGTGTGACATTTTTCAATAAAGGGAGGCAGGGTTCTTAACTAACTTGATTATTACTCTTGGTCTGTTGTCATCCTACCTACACTTCTTGTTTCACCAGATTGCTTGTTTTATCCTACCGTAATCTGACATGTTGTATAGCTCCTACACCGTTAACAGCAGGTAACAACTTAAGATCCATATACTCAGCTGCTGTAACCTTATGGTATGCTTTGTTTCAGCACATTTCACATCAGGCTGTAGCTGTGGTCACGATGGTCGGACAAACCCTCTTCTACTGCTCAAATATCAGTTCGAAGCAAGTTGATGTCAAATCAAGCTCCACTTGTGATATTATGTTTTTATTTATTGTGTGTGATTTCAGCATTTTAGCCAATGGATATGATTACAGAAATATGAAATGCATATCATTAATAAGTGGCTCAGACACAACAAAGGTTAGGTCACAACTTCCCAAGAGTTGACAGTTGTATATTGTAAAACTATTGAGAGAGAAGAACTCATCGTGTCTTCCTCCTACTTGGGGAGAAGAAGCGCAAGGACAACTGGCACGTTTCACGTTTGGGAGGGGCAGGGGATAAATCTGGATATCATTTCATAGATGTTTCAAAGATGTTCACTTACATGTATACACAGAAACTTAAATGGCAGATTTGTGTCGGATGAAGGTTGTTACTTAAGGTGAGTGCTGTATAACAAGTCATACACTACTACAAGGATACACCAGGTGACAAGGGAGTGATGGGCCAGTTGATTGATGATCATCTGCTAGCTAGTCTTAATGTTTTTCTTCTTCCTGGTCATTGTTCATCCATGATTGTATTAGTTTTTACTAATTCTGTGCAATATTGTCTCACACCAGAGCTGTTGTTTTATTTGATGTATTTTGTTATTGGAGCAATATTTCCACGTCATAGTATGTGATACTATTCTAGTCACTCCTAACTAGAAACAGAAACACTCAGGATACATGTCCATGTTTATTATGTTTTCCTTATCCCGACTCATGCTATATGTTTATCTCCCTTTTCCTTCGACTGATACGTGGAAACTTGAATCCCTTTGCCTTCTGAAGCAAACGTAAAATCACTCACCCAGTTGAGTCACCTCCCTTCCACTTTCCCGCCACTGTGTCCCACGTGACTAACACAGAGGTATGCTCTTGTCACTCACTCCTTCATCGGAGACTGTTGGGCAGATACCTTTGGTCCCTTCCTGGCTTATATCCTTTGTTATGTTTAGGCTTTTGATCTTAATCATGCCGTGAATGTATATTTAGGCATTGTATTAACTAATTGTTGAATTATTCATGTAAATTATTGTCTAAAACTTACGTTTTATTCCAATTTTCAGGTGACTGAATTTGTATGCCTGCATGTCAGCAATGTAGAGTGCGTACATTGGTGGCTGACCCTCACCCTGTCTGCAATTCTTGCCGGGTTTCTTCATGTTCACTGGTTTCACGTTGTATATATTGCACACTTGTCTTCATTTGAGTTTAGTAAATATTTATTGTGTTGTTTACACAAAAAATTAGACAGCGTACGGCGTGATAACAAGACCTACGCTATGAGGGTTGGTTCTCAGTCATCAAATCGTGAGTTGCTGCCTTTATTATCTAATAATACAAGCCATAATATGTCATCTGCCATTACATCCACTAATGTATCAGAGTCACTAGATGTGGACTCACCTATTTCTAATCAAATAGCGTCTCAGTCTCTGTCTAAAAGGAAGTCTATGAAATGCATAATGCCATTTTAGAAAGTGGTCAAATGTAACATATGTTATATTTGGGATTACAATTTCTCAGTAAAGTACAGATTCTAGTCACTCAACCCAAAAAGTACTAGAATCTGTTCTTTAATGAGAAAGTGTAATCCCAAATATAACATATGTTATAAAAGGAAGTCACCTCCGAGAGAGGAGTCCGAATCACAGTCTTCTAAGCAGAAGAAGTCTACATCGTCGCAGATGAAGAAATTGAGGCCATCGAAGTCTAGATCATCTTCGAGATCTACCAGACCCACCATACCGACTGCTGAAGTTAGGACATTTGCCTGCTGACGAAGTTCTCAACTTGTCTATGTCACAGCCTCCAACCTTTGAGCCAGAGATCTTCCTACGACCTCAACTATTGTCTCCAGTTACGACGATGGGGATTGCTAACCCCACGATGCAGTCCAGTCACACATCTACTACCAGATATCTACTGTCAAGGCAGTCTACTCTTCGCAGTTCATCTACGATGTTGTCAGGGTTCGCGAACCCTCAGACCAACAGGCAGCCTACATCTACGCAGACCACCACAGGGTTCACGAACCCTCAAATCAACAGGCAGCTTATCACAATGCAGGCTGCTACAGTGTTCGTGAACCCTCCTTGGCCATCAACTGATAGATATCATCAGCACATTGTAGACAACCCGCTAGCATTCACAAAGGCTACCTCATTACTGATGTCACCGATGTCACCTCTTGAGATTATACCTCAGGCATTTAATCCGAATGATTTTGTGGACAACATTACCAGTAAAGCTATGGAAGCTATGGAACGTCGACTCAACTCTGATCGTCAACTACTGGAACCACACCCATCTACAGGGTTCGCGAACCCTAAGGCAGAAGTTGTTCCAATTATGGATGATGATAAACCTCAGGATGCTGATAAACCTCAGGATGATGTTAAACCTCAGGATAAATCGGGCTCCTATATCTACAACGATGCGAAGGTTGTAGCATAGACTGTTGATGGTTTGCCTATATCCTCACCTACCCGAGACTCCAACCCTGCAAATACTTATTGTATTCAAGATGATGACTCTGATTCTATCACCATCCCACCGATGAAGCCAATATCTCAGGTACCAGAGAATCTCAAGGCAGCATTTACGAAAGCTACCAAGAACCAAGGGCAACAACGCCATCCTTCATCGCAAGGAAATTCCCTCTACACAATATGGAACCGTTCCTCAAGGCACCGGAGATTGACGATGACTTCTTCCTGCTCAGCGACTCCAAGTCACGCAGTTATCGAGTAGAGGATCGCAAGTTAGCACAACTTGACACTACAACCAGAAGGGCCTTCTTTGGTTTGGCGATGTCTAGATGGTGGACAGATGTCTTGATGGTGGACAGATATCTAGAGAGATATTTCAAGACTCGAAGGACCAGATGATAATCAAGTCCATGCAGACCATGACCAGTTCTACTCATCAATCATCACATCGTAACCAGTTCTGATTGAGATTTTCGGGTATCCAGAAGGCCAAGGAAAAGAAATATCCTGCAACTAGAGGTGGCAAGTCGTCGTCTTTTCATCGGTCATCCAGGGGAAGTTCCAGCAGAGGGCGTTCCTATGCATACTCCAGAGCATCACGACGATGAAATCAGATTCGGAGCGATTGGTGCGTTCCACCCCAAATCGTTCCCATAGAACTGTCGACAGTGGGTGGACCTCTCAGCAGCAACTGGGAAAATTGGATAATGGTGGGAGATGATGTGACAGAGATTTTATGAGAGGGATGCAACATTCAGCACAAGGAAACGTCTCTGCTTGCTATCAACCCTCATGTGCATCGTTATCCAGAGCCACAACGCAGCAAGCTGAAGGAGGCCATTGATTTTTTATTAGTAAAGAATGCTGTGAAAATCTCACATCAACACAATCTCACTCCGGGCTACTATTCTCCAATCTTCCTAGTATAGAAAAAGAACTTCAAGGAGAAATTCCGACTAATATACAATATGAAGCAGTTCCACCTAGATTATCTACTGAAACCAGACAAAAGATGTTGCACTTGCCTCAACTACGTCAGCTTATCAGACCCAACGATTATCTAGGCAGCATAGATCTACAAGACGCTTATCTGCACATACCGATACATCCAGCATCCAGGAAGTACTTGTGATTCCTGTTTCAACGACAGCTTTACCAATGGAATGTCCTCCCCTTTGGAATTTCGTCGGCCCGTGCCTATTTACATGTGTCACCAAGCTGACTGTCGCCTATCTGCATGAGCAGGGACTTTGCAGCGCCTTTTATCTAGACGACGGAATCCAAGCACATCAATCAGCAGATCAACTCAGACAGTTCCCGATCGATCTACTAACAAAGTTAGCCTGGCTGGTGAATTTATTAAAGACGGAACTAGAGCCATCGCAGGACATACAGTTTCTAGGAATCAGATTCCAGACTACACTGAATTGCATCACCGTTCCGGAGGATTGATGGGCAAACATACAAGCCTGTCTTCCAGACGAACTCAACTACCCTCTACCAATAAGGAAGTGGCAGTGTCTACTAGGCCTCCTGACGTCAGCACAAGACCGGCATGCAACCTTCATCTCTTCGTGGACGCATCACTACAAGGATGGTTAGCTCATTGCAATGAGGAGACGGCAGCAGGGAGTTGGTCACAACAGGAGAGACGATCACACATAAATCAGTTGGAATTCAAGGCAGTCATAATCGCAGTTGAACATTGGGCTCAGCTACTAAAGAATCAGTTTCTCATGATTCACACAGACAACTCGACGGTAGCCTACTACATAAATCTACAAGGCTCAACAAGGTCAGCACCTCTACTAGAACTGACGTTCCAGCTATTCAGCCTAGCAGACAACCTCAGCCTTTGGCTAAAGGTGGGCCACATACCGGGAGCAAAGAACATGTTAGCCGACACCCTATCCAGACCATGCCATCCATCACCCACAGAGTGGATGTTACACCCGGAGGCATTCTAACTACTGATAGCAGACCAAGGTCGTCCTCAACGTATGTCTCACCAGTACCGGATCCTCAAGCCTCGGCTGTCAACGCACTATCAATCACATGGGAAGGACTAAACGCATATGCGTTTCCGCTACCAGTTCCGTTACCTTAACATGCAAGTTGTTGCAGATAACTAGACATTAAAGATATGACTAGTTATTAAATCCACGAATTCTAATAAATTACTGCAGTATATTTATTCAGAAATATGTGGTCCCCTGATATCTTCAAAGCCGGAAGAAGAGCTCCCAGGGGGTATAGCTGCAAACGCTATATTTACTATTCAGTCACAGGGATTCCAGGAATGTGGCTGACCCACCACCTGTTTCCGTCGGATTCCTTAAGCATATAGCATGAGTCAGGATAAGGAAAATATGTAATTTTTATGATAAAATTGGTATTTTATACTTATCCTGACTCATGATTTAAAGGGCCCTCTCAACCGTCCCCTCTCAGCACTTCAGATCTCTGTGTAGGTTCGAGTGCGGGCTGGAATTCAGGAGAGGCAACAAGAGCATGCCTCTTTGTTGGTCACGTGGGACGCAGTGGTGGGAAAGTGGAAGGGAGGTAACCGAACTGGGTGAGTGATTTTACATTTGCTTCAAGGAGCAAAGGGATTCAAGTTTCCACGTACCGTTCAAAGGAAAAGGGAGATAAGCATATAGCATGAGTCAGGATAAGTATAAAATTTTCAGGGATGATATGTTGTTCATTAGTTTATCATTAGTCGTAAGAGACTATTGACTCACCCCAAATTTAAGTGGTGAACAATTAGAAAAACATAATCATACAACTTAAAAAATTATACAAAACTAGAGTCACTATTATTTTTGAATGATACTTGATCAGTATGTGGACTCTGCAAGTGTTTTATGAACAGAACAAAGCTATCTCGAAAGTATGTTCGAGACTATATTGTGATTATTAAAAAAATACTCATCAATTCTACACTTTATGCAGCATACTTTTTGTTTTTCTTCATTGTTCCAACTAACCGTGATAACTTCATACCAACGACAAAACAAAATACTGAGCTCACAATGTTATATTTATTTCTATTTTGAAAGACTTCACCAAGTTACAGTAAACTGCATTTATAACTACAGGTAACATGTTTATAACATACTGGCAAAAATGTCAAACTGGCAAATACAACTACTATTTTTGGTCCAAACCACTTGCTGTTCATTCTATCAAAATGTGTGAATCAAAATTCTGTTGCTTCATTTAGTGCATGTGTCACTGTTTAACATGTTTGGTGCACAGAGAAATCAAACAAGAACTAGAAGGACCAGACTGATCTGTTGGTGAGAAATGGGGGCCCACATGTCTACAGCATCACAACCAATGTACTGAGTTGTGTCGTTTAATCCTGCAAGTAACCTGTGGTGGTTGGTTTGAAGCCCAGATTCCCCATGGTTTATGTTTCAAGGTGGCGTCACCACACTGGTAATTGTCTCCGACCTGCAACACTTTTCTCACGCTGTACGCCAGGTTGTAAGTGAAATAATGATAATGTGGCAGAGAACCAAACTTGCTGATATATCAGCTCCAGACATCATTGCTTCATCACAACATCAAGTTCTATTACCAGTGCCTTTTCCATGTGCCTGCAAACAAAACTCACCTACCAATTTATCAGTTCATCATTGCTTCAACAAAATAGTAAAATGTTATTACCACGTGGCAGGAAACAAAACACCTGATTTATCAGCTCTATTCATCATCGCTTCAACAAAATAGTTAAAGGTTTTTTTACCAGTGATTTTCTTTCCTTCCTTGGGGTGGTGGGGTAGCCTAGTTGTTAAAGCGTTCACCCGTCACACCGAACACCTGTGTTCGATTCCCACATTGGTGCAATGTGTGAAGCACATTTCTGGTGTCCCCCGGCCATGTTATTGCTGGAATATTGCTAAAAGCCGCATAAAACTAAACTCATCACTCACTTTCCTTCCACGTGGCTGAAAAGGAAACTCACCTACTGATGTAACAGCTCCATTCATCATCACTTTACCAGCTTCATACATCATTGCTTCACCAAACCAGTATAGTCACTAGACCAGTGTGTTTAATTTATGAACATGAAGGTGACTAGATGTTGTAGCATTGTCATTACCATGGCAACAGCAACAGCAGGTACTGACTGGTCCTTACTGGCAAGGAGTTTCTCTGTAGCTTTGTTTGTATAACTAGGTCTGTTGACTGTCCTTGCCACCAACTGCAGCCAAATAGATGATGCAGCCTAAAGCAATATTCACTGCTTCATCGTGAAGAAACATATTAAATAACATTAGGATATGATAAGTTCTGCCTAACTTCTTGCAAGTGAAGTGAGCAGTATTTGAGTGTTTGTGAAGTGTATTTCTCAATGGGAAGTTATTGATAATTTTACCACCATGATAAGTATCTTGAGAAATACTCCATTGATCTCACCTTGGTAGTTTTTATCAAATCCTGACTTATATATATGTAGTTCAGTGTTTCAAATGTTTAAGGAAAATAATGTGGATTTGTTTTACTCATTTGTTGACTTCCTCAGGTGTCACCTGAATAAGAGTGTGCCTAAAAGCAATAACAGCGAATCTGTCAATATTGAAAATCCGTGTTTTTGTTTTCTTTTTAAGAAATGCTCATTTATTAAAGTAAGGAAAGGTCTCAGAAATCACACAGATTCATTAATTAGATAAAATGTATCAATTATGAGGTTTTGTTGGTGGAATTCATACATTCGGAACTGGTTATATGATTTAGAATTTGTTTTAACCAATTGCTTTTGAAATGGCAAACACTTAATTGTACAACACTACTTTAGCCATGTGGCATCTTTATTAGAAGAACAGGGATTTTCCAAAGGACCTTTTCAATATTTTCATTGACCATGGAGTTTTCCCCAGAGTATCATTTATTTTATTGATGTTGTCCAGCGAGCAGATCCATTCCTCCATAAATGACCATCACACAGAAATTGTATTGTTGTGGTTGTTGCTATAGTAACTGGCCACAGAAACTAGGTATGTTTCTCATGATTATCTTAATGCTGATGGTTTTCAGAAACATGTCATTGATTATCTCAGTGTTCGTGAACTGGTGGAGGTTGGACACCAAGGGACTGTTGTGACCAGTTTGTTGGTATATTGTATGATCTCATAGTCATAAAACACCTGGCTTCACACTGAAGTCATGAGGAATGTGGTGAGGCCTAATTGGATGTGTTACACAGAGTTTGTCATATCAGCCATTCCACGATGCTCTTAAGGGACCGACCATTCAAACCTGCGCATATATATATATGTATATATGGTCTTTTTAGAGACTTCTGACAATGTTATTTTTGTCTTAGACACTTTCTATTTTGGTCTGTAATCTGAAAGATAATTGTTTTCCCCAAGCTTTTGTTTTGCATTTGGTTATATTACAGTCTGTAAATGATTGTGTCTGGACCAGATGGTCTAGTGGTTGATGTAATGAGCATCAATCTTCACACTTGGCAGCGAGTCTGACCACCCACTCCCTATATGACAAGCCTGGGTTGCTGAAGACAAATTTCAACTTGATTTTCATGGGTATTTTTCTAAAGCTGTTTACTGTGACAATCTGTGATCCGTTAGTGAAATTATGAAATTGACATTTTATTGGGTTTATCAAGTGAGAGAGAATTTTGTGAGAGTGCAGTTGCGTCTGGGGTCTGACCACACTTTGGTTGATTGGTTTAATTATTGTAGAGATGTGTGTTTGTTTGTGATGGAAGAGGAGAATGAGATGATAGGTGGGCCAGGGATTGAAGTTTGAGATTGATGAGAGTAAGTTTGGGAAGCGTAAGTTTCACCGAGGAAGGCGAGTGGATGGTGTGTGGGTGTTTGGGGGTATCGAGAAAGAAAGTAACCGGATGTTTTGGAAGTTGTGGAGAAGCGTGATGCAGATACCCTTTTGAGTGTGCTGAGAAAGTGGGTGCGACCGGGATCGATTATTCATTCTGATTGTTGGAAGGCGTATGCTAGGCTGAATGAGATGGGATACGAGCATGTGACTGTGAATCATAGTAAAGGAATTTGTGAATGCAGATAATGGTGCGTGCACTAATAAAATTGAGAGTACGTGGAGAGCGGTGAAAGCGTCCTGCCCAGGTATGGAACTACGAAAGGATTGTATGATAGTTATTTTGTTGAGTACATTGTGAGGAAGAAATATTTACGTTGTTCTGATGATCCTTTCGTTACATTTCTTACTTTTATCCGCCGTGTATTTGACCCCAAAAAAACCCATCAATATTTTAGAAAAGTTGAAACTGGAAATAAAGAAAATGACATACCCCAAAATGAAAGCTCACATGATGTACCCGATGTATTTAATTCAAGTGCGGATTTGTTCTTGTGAGGTAAGTGAATTCAATTGAGGCGCAGATTTGTTCTTGTAATATAAGGTAAGTGAAGCGTTTCGATATTTGTTATCACGCTCTGCTACATCATGTTAACTTACCTGTTTTGTTTATTGTATCGATTAGTATCCAAGGGTAATTGAATGGACCAAAACAGCGATGTTGTTATGACAAAAAATGGCGTCAGCGTTAGTGCTCGCTTCGATGTAAATATCGCTTCTGCGCATGTCTGTAGCTAAACTTCCGGGGACCCGTAAAGTGCAGTCTACCCTTGCAGTGTGTTGTGAAATGCAAATGAAAATGTAGAAAAAGGTTTTTGGCTAGAGAAATTTCAGGAAAACTGTCTTCATTGTGAAAATAACCAACCGGCTGCAATAAATGATATGGCCACATTGTAACAGTTTTACCATCAAGGTCACAGGTTCTGTATTTTGTCTCAGATACGAAGGATAATGTCTCAGATACCAACACTGAGTTTTGGGGGTCGGATGTGGTAGACCAAGTGGCTAATTACCAGCAAGCCTTTCAAGACCACGACAAAACTGTGTCATAAAAATCCATACTAATTTTCCTACATGTGAAGATTTGATTGTTAAGTTACAGTTAGCATTCTGTAGCCCTTCATTAATAGAACAGGAGGGAGCGGAGAATACACACTGATCTGGATTCATGATGCATGGAGTAATGTTTCATCTGAAGGGGAATTCTTGTTGGTGTTACAGTGTTCTGTATTGGGACTAGTGTTTCATATGTTAGTTGATAATTAATCAATGGCACCCATCCATTATGTAATGTGTTTCTGTTGTGTGGTGTTCGTTGATCCATCATCAAATAGTCATACCAGTGATACCCTATGCAAATGTGTGATACTAGTTCATTCCATCCAGTGTTGTGATTTACTTACATTGATTTACAAGTATTTACAAGCAATAAACACTACCGTTTAACTTGTTGTTTTGAGGTGAATCATTCCTTTCTACGGAAACTTTAAGAGATACCGGGAAAACAGAACTAGATACATTCATGTCCCAGTGAGTCAAACAGAACTGCATTCATGTACCTGGATACATTCATGTCCCAGTGAGTCACCTGGAGCAGGATAGCTGGCCAGCCTGTACTAAGAACTGGATACATTCATGTCCCAGTGAGTCACCTGGAGCAGGATAGCTGGCCAGCCTGTACTAAGAACTGGCTAACATGGGGAGTTTGAACCTAATGTTCCGGTCCGTTGATCATACTATCAGCCATCAGTTGTCTGTCCCTGACTCGTGTACAGACTGATACCGACCTACCAGAAGACCACTATAGAATCTCTGAAGTAAAAGGATGGCTATACATATATATGTCCATCTGGGAACTATTGGGTATTGAGGTACCCTCAAGTCATTACTCTCAGAGAATGTGTATGAACTGCTGGAGCTGATAAAGAATGGGTGTTGGGGTGGGGTGATGTAAAAATATTGTTTGGGTCGGTAAGCAAAACGCGATCGTATATTATCCTGCCCCTCTGAAGGGTATGGTTCTGCGTTTGAAAAAGCACAGCTTCATGAACACACACATCACGTCTGCTTTCAAGAGTTACAAATAGGCCGAGACAATTCTGTATCCGGAGAATATTACAGAGAACCGGGTAGTTGTAGTTAGAAGGGGCGAGACTGGAAAAGTGTCGAATGTTGAATGTGTTGAAAGTAGGCTGGGATTGGAGCGTGTCCGGAGCCTTTCGTCGTGGGTTCGAATACGAAACACCCTGACAAGGACAGACTCCGACATGATTCATGCTGTGTGTGTGTGTGTCTGTGTGTGTTCATGGTAGGAGTACAGGTGCAGACCGTGTTTATTTTGCGACTGATACTGGTATGGCAGGACACGCTATCACCTGCTTTCATTGCTAGTGTTGTTCATCGCTTCATATATCAGTGCAATTTTACCTTTTGTGTCCATTGGAATTTGATAATCGAGACTGGCTGTAATCTGGCGTTGACATACATTTCGATGTTAATCTGACAAGCCGTGGTATAACTACGAAACATCGTATAACTCGACTTACGGATTCACACTCACGTGGCCCAATTTGATTCCGTTTTGGTTAGGACCTTTTTGGCGTGGTGCCGTTTTAGCTATAATCCAAAGTAATGGTTAACATCGGTAATCACTGATTGCATTAGAAAGAGCTCCTTACGTACCCCCGCATATTCTATAAGGTTCTTTTCATTACTTGTATATCTTTGTATTTTTTGAAAAAATTAGGTGGAGGGTACGTAAGGAACTCTTTCCATTGCATTTGCTGTGAATACTAACCCATATTCGGGATTAGCCTCCAATATTGCTCGCGGCGGCCGTTGACCAAACGCAAACACTCGCTATTGATGATGACAGACAGCTGGTGATATGAACAGGTTTATTCCATGCACGAAGTGGTGATAAACATATATATGTATGTATGTGCGTTGAAAACATATCTTATTCCGGGCATAAAACACTTTTTGGGAATCCTTACCTAAGGTCAAACCACTTTCGTAAGGAGGGCACAATTAAAAAAATGTGTGCATCTGTCGGAAGAGGATTAAGAAAAGCATCTTAAACGCTTCATGGCCTGGTTACAAATATTTAAAAATATGCTTTATCAGCTCACGTCGTATCTTAACGGACTGTAGGTTTGTGATGTACTTCAAATATCTGTTACGCCCTAAGGGAAAATTCACTCCGACTTAACAACGTAACAATGATTGAGAAAGTATTCATGCTTCCACAGTACTCAGGGTATCATCAGAAATTGGTGTAAAAGATAACATCAGTACTTATAGGATTGCTATACAAGCCAACCATGTCCAGATATATACTGTACAAGTATATAAGGATCATGAATATTTTGGAGTTTCTTTAAATGTTTATGGTATATAAATAATATTCCATGATGCCTATTATGGTTTGTCCAGTATATGTTTGTAGAAGTACTTTAAACGTCTTACACCTTTCTGACAAAAACAATAACAAAATATTGACATGAGAGCTAGAGTTCATAAACATATATTGACTGGAAGTAGTGGACGATAAAACGAAATTGATAGGAAACGAGTCTTTGACTTTGAAGGAATACTGTTTGTGTGTTGCTTGCATCTTGTGTTACGTGTACATATGATAGACTAAACTTACCTGTGAAAGAATAAGGCCAAGACATATTAGCTTCTTGTTTCGCCGAATACCTTAAAACAATACCATCAAAGGGCAAGGTAGTCACTTTTTAAGAAAGATATGAAATTACCATTTACTGAATGTAATCTTGCATTGTGACTGTAACCGTTTTCGTTACATTGTTTCCCGATCTGGGACATTCTGACGTGGTCTGCAATCGGATGTCGGCAGATCTTTGTGTAGTTGTAGCCGGCACTTATTTCTCTAATAGCTCAATTTCCAAGAATACAGCCACGGGGTACTGTAGCTCAACTGGCTAGAATACAGCCACGAGGTACTTCAGCTCAACTGGCTAGAAAACCGCCACGAGGTACTGTAGCTCAACTGGCTAGAACACAGCCACGAGGTACTGTAGCTCAACTGGCTAGAACACAGCCACGAGGTACTTCAAATCAACTGGCTAGAAAACAGCCGCAAGGTACTGTAGCTCAACTGGCTAGAATATTGCCACGAGGTACTGTAGCTCAACTGGCTAGAATATTGCCGCGAGGTACTGTAGCTCAACTGGCTAGAATATTGCCACGAGGTACTGTAGCTCAACTGGCACCAATATTGCCACGAGGTACTGTAGCTCAACTGGCTACAATATTGCCACGAGGTACTGTAGCTCAACTGGCTGAATATTGCTACGAGGTACTGTAGCTCAACTGGCTACAATATTGCCACGAGGTACTGTAGCTCAACTGGCTACAATATTGCCACGAGGTACTGTAGCTCAACTGGCTAGAATGCAGCCAAAGGTACTGTAGCTCAACTGGCTAGAATATTGCCCAAAAGGTACTGTAGCTCAACTGGCTACAATGCAGCCAAGAGGTACTGTAGCTCAACTGGCTAGAAGAACATTGCCACGAGGTGCTGTTGTTCAGCTCAACTGGAACAATATTGCCACGAGGTACTGTAGCTCAACTGGCAACAATATTGCCGCAGGTACTGTAGCTCAACTGGCTACAACACAGCCACGAGGTACTGTAGCTCAACTGGCTACAATATTGCCACGAGGTACTGTAGCTCAACTGGCTACAATATTGCCACGAGGTGCTGTTGTTCAAATGTTGACCACGAGGTAAAGCAGCTCAACTGGCTGCTGGCAATATACAATATTGTCCAGAGGGTTGAATTAGTACATTTGCAACTCTATGTATAAAACCATAAATGTTAAATTACAACGAAATGCAACCGACATAACATGTGCAACAGAAAAGGCCACATCACAGATATCTCCCTGTACAATGACGCACGCGTTGTCATACGAACATTGCTGTGTGCGGCGCTAAATAACCAACAAATAACGAAAAAACTTCAAAAATAATCAAAAGGGTCGACAGGTTAAATGTGAAAACTGTATGGAATCAAACTCTTCAGCGAAACATATGTGATCACTGTCAATACTGTCATAGGCCATGTGGGATCAAAGAAAATACAAGGATGGACAACGACCCATATGTTACTGCTTTGGAGAAAGGAGTTGTCCAAAATGATATACGGGCAAAATAAAGAAGGGTTATAAAAATATATCACACATGTTTGTGTCCGATGTGACACTGGAGTTGACTGGGCTGTTTTAAAGTATTCTTGTTTGTAACAAACTGGTTGTATATGTTCAGTGACTGTAGTACATTCAGTTGAACGAGGAAAAGTACGAGACAACGAGACCAGGACATACTGTTACAGATGAGGTGAGAAATGGAGCTTACGTTGCATCCGAAATTACTCCACATAAATACACCGACGTGAAATAACAGTCGTGTTTGGCTGTTTGTAGTAGTCCGACTGTTTCACAGTGCTAAACTACTGAGATACCATCCCGTTGTCAGGAGAACATACCGCCTCAAGGCGATCGCAGGCCATTGTTAGTTTATGTATTGCAGTTTGGTAAGTCGGAGGTGCTCAGTGCGTCCATTTCCTTCCGAAAAATGGCAAATACAGAGAACAAATAGTTCCGGGTCGCGTACTGCCAGAACTATACGTAGGTATATCACTCTTTGCAAACCTGTGATCACAAACTCACTCACAAACGTTTACCTTCGTTAGACTCCTACATTTGGCGTGCGATTAGGTCTCGGCATCCACGTATACATGTTTAGTCTGCATGTGTGCAACTTAGAACAATATTCATTTACTCACTGTAATACGCCGTAAAACAATATCACCGAACATGAATGAGTGAAACACAATCAGATGTTCTATGTCCTGTTTGTCAGTGTTGCGGAATGAGGAAATCACGTGATCACTCGGGGAACATGGCAACCCTGACTGGCACTTCAGTTGTAATACGCGGCCGCTCCGCCTATTCGGCCTATAGCTTCTTGAAAAGCATTGAAATGAAAAAATATATATAGCTGACTGGAATCTCGATTACAGTACCGGGATCCATACATTTGATTTCCACTGAGCCTTCCGAATCCGACGAATATTGCGCATGCCTCAAGATCAACAATATTTACAGGTCCTACCGTTGATTTTCAGCACGTTTATCTAGACAGGCACCCACCCTAGTCAGACATTCCCCTTTGCGCCAAAGCCCCGGATTTTCCGGAAGTTGTCAGTTTGCGGCTACTCCGTCAATGGTTCGGTTCATAACAGCAAAGACCAACACAGTAATGACACAACAGGGTGACAGATAACTGAGATTTGCCATAATCACTGGCCGCCATGGAGAAAGCCCACTAGCAGTCCGACCACACTGGAACAGAGGATAGCGGCTGACATGGTAACCAAGGCGACACATAGGCATTTTCTTCTGAAGGAACTTTCGCTGGAAGAAATCTGCAAATACAATACATAAATATGTAAATGTCGGTTCCGCCGATCATTCATACAGGATCGTCCGAAGTAGTCTTGCTAGCCTAATGCTAAGTATATGAATATATGTAATGTTGATAGAAACCAAAAACTCCTTAAAAGTTGAAAAGTGATCAGTGCGATTCAGATTCCTGAAGCTGAGGAAATCTAGACTTACTTCGTTTGGGGCTTTCGATTTCAAAAGAGGTAGGCAAAAATATAAACTTCACAGAGGCTTGTAACACTAAATCATGGCATAGAGGTATAAAATGTCACTGCCTTAGCAACGAAGAAAAGGGGCTCGTGGGTCCCATCGGTTACAATATATCCCTTGTTGCTATTTTATGCGTTACAAGCCCATGTGCTTGTCTTTTCAGGATTGCATTTTGATTAGTTTATCGATGACTTAATACCTGATACATTGGGTTTGAATCATTGTGATCTGCCATCGAAGGCTAGACAGGTCAACGAAACATAAACCCGATGCGGCATTCCCAACATGGTATTCGTTGTTCTGCCATACTACCATGTGTTGTAAAGTACAGCCCCTGTCTACGCCATGAACCATGTGTCTTATAGCGTATACAGGATGTTTCATACCAAGTACTACGTGTTCTGTACCATATAATAAAATGCCCTATGGCTGGCTGTCTGGTCACTGGTCTTATACTTTTGAAACAAAATATGCTATTGCACATACCAAATGTCCTATTTCAAAAACCGCCAGTCCTATGTCATAAGCCCTGAGCCCTATACTATACATGCAACATGTTATATTCCACATACCATGTACATGAACCAAATGTTCCAGGTCATAAACTTGTGCAATATTTATCGCCTTTTATGTTGTGAATGATATACTACAATCATGCCCACATATACGACATTGTATACCTACTGGTGATATCTCCACCACAGACTCGGCATCGCTGTTGGTACTGATAGATTTGCCACAATCTGTCAAATAGAAGGTGAAAGTATTTTACCGGCTAGTATGTTTAGGGACCGTTCATATATATTATGGCGTGATGATAGTTTTTATGGAGAAGCATGTACGCTGTGAATGACCTCCCTAAAATTTATGTACGAAGTAAGTGCATATGTCCTGATGCAGCCGTGATATCATAACGACGATATGCAGGATGAAACCTTCACAGGTTGAAACGCTGACAACAAAATAATGCGCCGTTTCACAAAGGCCAATTTAAGTCTGACTTTGTCAACGAATACACCCACTCCAAAAATACTAAAATATGAAATACATGTACAATGAAAATGAAAAGCATCGTGTTTGTAATGAGGGTGCTTCAGCGAGGTATTTGATTTAGAAGCTTCCTTTCATCCAAATGATGATTTCGAGTCTGTTAGGGTGAAGTGGTATTCGAATCTATTAGGGTGAAGTGGTATTCGAATCTATTAGGGTGAAGTGGTATTCGAATCTATTAGGGTGAAGTGGTATTCGAGTCAATGGCTGCACTATGGTATATATCCGCCCATTCACTAGTTGAGTATTCAATGTGTCTGTAAAACAATAGACAACACTGTATGTTCAGTACTAGAACGTGGCACTATGTTATAACTATGCAGATCACTCTCATTCTATATTACTGTTATTTAACGTATTTAGGTTCAGTGTATTGTATATCTCAGTTCTAGTTTTACTAATACCCTGGGACTCGTGAACATCCGGGTAATAATCGGTCTTCAGCCACCCGTGCTTGTCGTAAGAGGCGACTAACGGTATCGGGTGGTCAGGCTCTCTGACTTGGTTGACACATGACATCGTATCCCAATTGCGTAGACTGATGCTCATGCTGTTGATCACTGGATTGTCTGGTACAGACTCGATTATTTAGAGACCGCCGCCATATAGCTGGAATATTGCTGAGTGAGGCGTAAACCTAAACTCACTCACTCACTACTAATATCCTGGACCCATTCAACTCTGTGTCGATGACCATGATGCCAATCAATGGATTGTCACTTCCAGACAATTATCTATAACAGATTAATTTTTAAATTATTACTATCGATTATTAACCGATCGCCGTGATTTAGCTGATGTGCTGCATCCAATAACTAGAGGTAAACATGTTCGGCCGTCATGCCAAGGGCGCGAGTTCAATTCCTAAAGGTGCAATGCTAAGAGTCTCATTTCCTGTGTCCCACGCCATGATGTGTGTCTGGGATACTGAGAAAAGGGATGTAAAACCTTACACTCACTCCACTCACTCACTCACTCCACAGCTTCATTCAAATGTAACGACTTGGGAAGAAGCCATCCAATCACGTGACAAGGGAATTGTAAGACAAGATGAAGGTGGCGACCTCCCAAATAAAGTCCTGATGGGTACATGATATGTATTATTACAGAGTTGATATAATACCGTAGACAGAGGAGGACACAGTTAAATACACCCGAGACCGTTATGGCTCTACGTGCATTTCATAGTCTAGACGAATAATTATTATATTTAAAGCCACAATATATTCGCATTGAGTAGAATTTTAGTCGAAGAGCACAGTGATGATCAATCTTTATTATGGACACAATGTTCTGTTCGTGGCTGTCATATGATAATGTTAATTCAGGCCCCAAACTCAGGAGGCGGACTATTCATATACATCCTGGGGTCACATTGCTACAACAACTATACATTTACTTGATAATCTAAATGATACATTTAATTAATTCTCTCATTAATGAGAACATGGAGTTGAGAAATCATAGGATTGCTTCTACGGCAGCGGACACTACGTTGCATGGCTGGGTTGTTGTTTAACGCCGCACTCAGCAATGTTCCTCCTATATCGCAGCGGTCTGTAAATAATCGTGTCTGGACCAGACAATCCAGTGATCAACAGCATGACGAAACAGTTACAATGGGTTGAAATATATATGCTCAATTCTAAAAGAAACGCACAAACTACTTGGACATGTATATCTTAGCACGCGCACGGTGCTGATGTCACGTGACTTGTTATTTTCGACGACCTCTTATCTGTTAATGGAAAATTTAAAGGAAATTCCTTTGCCGTGCTACCAAGGAAACAAGTGAGTGATATAATGAGTATCGCACCGCGGGGGGTATCCGTGATGGTCCAGGTTAGAACTGGTCTTCGTCAACCCACGCTTGTCGTAAGAGGCGACTAAACTGGTCGCGGACTTAGTTGATGCTTACCATTGTATCCCAGTTACTTAAATCGAACATCATGATGCCAATCAATGGATTGTCAGGTCCAGACAATTATATTGAACATATATAATTTTAAAAATTATGATTACCGATTATTAATAGATCGCCGTCATTTAGCTGGCATGCTGCGTTAAGCAACAAACAAACAGATGCATTGCATGCAGTGTGACCAGCATTCTTCCAGGGTGTCTGGCACCAGTCTTATGCTATTATTAGACTACCGGTGCTGGTGCTGTCCATTGTGACGTCAAACAATCCACAAAGGTAAATATAAAGATGTCGGTTCAACTGATCTCATATTTCCCATCAAATACAAAATGTCTCTTTCTTTAGTTCATTTCTTTGATATCAGGAACATTTAGGTAAGGAAATTGTAAATACAACATTAATAATTATGGTTTAAATAGAACTATACTCCCTTTAATAAAACATAAACACCGTAGAATGCTAAGTTTTGATTATCTGCGGAAACAAGTTCCATTATGTAAATTAGCGATGAATGGATCACTGAAATTCACCGACGATCGAAGACCAGATCTGGTTCTCACCCAAGTTGTCCGTGGTAGTTTCCGGCTCGATGTCCCAGGGCTGAACGTCCATAGTCTGGCTGGCAGTATATAATATCTCGCGGATATCACGTGCCGCCCTGCAAGAAAACACATCTAGACACCAAATGGGAACATAGGAAAAAATGATACAACATGTTGCGAAACATGATTTGGATTCTCGATCACATCAACAAAACTTTAGAAACAAGCATGACATAAATGATAAAACATTTAAACCAAACGCCCATTTAAACATTATTTACGATATTTAAAGGCATTCTGTTATTATGGAGAAAGGCCAATATAGGTTAAAGTGGAGAAGGCCAGCGTGAAGCAGGTCAGAGATGAGTGCTGCAGAATATCTTGAAATGGGCAGCATGTTACTGAACAAAGTGCAGCAGGCTGTAACGCTAAGTTTCAGCAGATCACCGAACAAAGTGCATCAGGTGATATAGTGCAAAGCGGGTGGTGTGGTAGCCTAGTGGTTAAGGCGTTCGCTCGTCACGCTGAAGACCCGGGTTCGATTCACCAGATGGGCACAATGTGTGAAGCCCATTTTTGGTGTCTCCCGCGTGATATTGCTGGAATATTTCTAAAATTGGAGTAAAACCATACTCACCCTCTATAGTACAAAACGCCTCAGTGAGTGAGTTTAGTCCGACGCCGATTTTAGCTATATTCCAGCAGCGGGGGACACCAGACATGGGCTTCACACATTGTATCCATGTGGGGAATCGAACCCGGGTCTTCTGCCTGACCAGCGAACGCTTTAACCACTAGGCTACCCACCGCCGAAAGCGTGTCCGGCTACAGATGGTGGGGCCGCCATATAGCTGGAATATTGCTGAGTGCGGCGTAAAACTAAACTCACTCACCCACTCACTCACAGATGGTGGGATGAGGTGAAGCCAGCGATGGTGCTGTAGTGCGTGCTATGATCAACTGGATCCAACAAGATGTAGGTCGAAGAGAAGGAAATAAAGATGTTCACGGTCAATGTATAATGGATAAAGATTTATATTCGTCGTTTTCCAGTCTCACGTACCTCTCAAGGCGGAGTAGTTCCTCTTTTTCCATGACCCGCTTGTCTGCTGTGGGCGTGTCCAACTGTTCCACCGCCAGACACGCCTTATATGGTATGACAGGTTCACATACACCCGTTTTGATTAAAACTGTTATACCTGCAGAATCAAAGGGTTTTCTTAAGACAGAGAATATAAATCATATACATATTTGGTTAGGGTTATATATAACTTTCTATAATATAATATATGAAGTTCTTTGGGATTTTTTCAGTGACCATCATGAAAGAAATGGGTGATCACGAACTTATAACAAGGTCAGCATTAGTGTTGTATACTGTACATAAGTGCACAGCATCTGAAAGGTATTGAATTGAAACAAACATCTGTGAAAATGAGTTTCTGCAAATAGGTTTGAGACATGTAACGGGTGGAAGGTGGCTGTTGATGATTCTTTAGTTTAAAACAGAAACTGTTGTTAGAGTTTGGTACATCTTACAATGGCTATTGTAATGCGCCTTTGTCACTACACCGAGTTGTTTCCGGGTTGCAACTGGTCTACGACAACCTATGTGTACACTCAGTAATTTTCCAGCTACATAACGGCGGTCTGTAAACAATTGAGTACCAGACAATCAACAGTGATCAACACCGTGAGCATCGGTCCACGCAATTGCGATACGGTGACATGTGTCAACCAAGTCAGAGAGCCTGACCACCCGATGCCGTTAGTCGCCTCTTAGGACAAGCATCTGTTGCAGAAGACCATTTCTAACCCGAATCTTCACGGGTCTTCACAACCTATGCCTGTTGTAAGGTTCAAGTGAATGTATTGGGAGTTCAGACTCGGTCACGTGGTTGATTGCCGGTCTTCGTATCCTGCTGGTGGCGATTGTTGCTGCCAATGTCAGTCACTGGATTGTCTGGTCAGGCCGGAACCATGTAACTGGTATATTGCTCAGTTAGGCATAACACAATATCAGGCTTTTGGTATTGTTTAAGTACCGTATGTCTCGACTTTAACACCGATATCTGGCATTCGTGTTTGCGCATGCGTGTATGCGTGTGTGCGTGTGTGCGTGTGTGCGTGTTTGTTGAAGGTTTGTACCGTGATTTGACGTAGTGTATCTTGTCACTGTGTCTCAGGCTAACAAAATATACCTTTTTTCGTTTTCCATAAACGTGTTTAGCATTTTACTGTACTGACACAGCGATCCCGTTGAGACGTATGTTTACATACAGAAGGTACATTTTCGGGTTTAGTTTCAAACCTATTACCTGTGACCACTCAACACAAAGAATGACATATGTGGTCGCGAATGGCGTTTTTTCATTGGTTACGTTTCATCATTTACGAACCGGCCAGTCGTTCGATTTTTCCCGGAATCGGTCACAGGAATGTTGTCGTAGGAATTGACGAGTACGTAAACAGACTGCCATTAACCTGATGGAGCACACTTTCCCCTATCAATAAACCGCTAATTGCCTTATCACGCCCAGGAACTCCTGATTATTTCAGTAGACTATTGTGCACACATAATGCGCGATGCGAGTGGTGTATAAATATTCCTCTTAATTAATCGTCAGTTATGGAAGCTGACATCTATCCTATGTAAATATCATCTCACACATACTCGTACAAAACATGTCAAAGATGAAGTTTGCTACCATCAGCAGCTGACGTATTCAGAGTCTAGTAAAGAACAGATGGACCAATCGTGTTATCACCACACTTCGCATTTCGCTGTAGGTTCAATGACCAGATGGATCCAGAGTCATTCAAGACCATCTTCCTGAGACTGACGTCATCATGCACTAGTGTTCTTCTTCCAACCCTTGATGTACCGGAGCAAACATGCTTACGCATGTACGCACGCACGCGCGAGCACACGCAGAGGTTGAAGCCATTAGATCAAACTGATCGGAATCACAACATCTGCTGTTCATTGCAAATGTCGAAACTGTCAATTATAGTTATTGATCTTTCTCGCTGGCCGCAGTACTGGTTAGAACAGCCTTCACCTTCATCGGGGCATTTTCTCTGTGTCATGAACTTGTAGGAACAGGTATACATATACATGCTAACTAGTGGTATCTAGCATCAGGCACTGTATCTGAATATACATGCTAACCAGTGGTATCTAGCATCAGGCACTGTATCTGAATATACATGCTAACCAGTGGTATCTAGCATCAGGCACTGTATCTGAATATACATGTTAACCAGTGGTATCTAGCATCAGGCACTGTATCTGAATATACATCAGGCACTGTATAACCAGTGGTATCTAGCATCAGGCGCTGTATCTGAATATACATGTTATCTAGCATCACCAGTGGTATCTAGCATCAGGCACTGTATCTGAATATACATGCTAACCAGTGGTATCTAGCATCAGGCACTGTATCTGAATATACATGCTAACCAGTGGTATCTAGCATCAGGCACTGTATCTGAATATACATGTTAACCAGTGATATCTAGCATCAGGCAATGTATCTGAATATACATGTTAACCAGTGATATCTAGCATCAGGCGCTGTATCTGAATATACATGTTAACCAGTGGTATCTAGCATCAGGCAATGTATCTGAATATACATGTTAACCAGTGATATCTAGCATCAGGCGCTGTATCTGAATATACATGTTAACCAGTGGTATCTAGCATCAGGCACTGTATCTGAATATACATGTTAACCAGTGGTATCTAGCATCAGGCAATGTATCTGAATATACATGTTAACCAGTGATATCTAGCATCAGGCACTGTATCTGAATATACATGTTAACCAGTGGTATCTAGCATCAGGCACTGTATCTGAATATACATGTTAACTAGTGGTATCTAGCATCAGGCACTGTATCTGAATATACATGTTAACCAGTGATATCTAGCATCAGGCACTGTATCTGAATATACATGTTAACCAGTGGTATCTAGCATCAGGCACTGTATCTGAATATACATGTTAACCAGTGGTATCTAGCATCAGGCAATGTATCTGAATACACATGTTAACCAGTGGTATCTAGCATCAGGCACTGTATCTGAATATACATGTTAACCAGTGATATCTAGCATCAGGCACTGTATCTGAATACACATGTTAACCAGTGATATCTAGCATCAGGCACTGTATCTGAATATACATGTTAACCAGTGATATCTAGCATCAGGCACTGTATCTGAATATACATGTTAACCAGTGATATCTAGCATCAGGCATTGTATCTGTATCTGAATATACATGTTAACCAGTGGATATCTAGCATCAGGCAATGTATCTGAATATACATGTTAACCAGTGATATCTAGCATCAGGCACTGTATCTGAATATACATGTTATCTGAATATACAGTTAACCAGTGATATCTAGCATCAGGCACTGTATCTGAATATACATGTTAACCACCGATATCTAGCATCAGGCACTGTATCTGAATATACATGTTAACCAGTGATATCTAGCATCAGGCGCTGTATCTGAATATACATGTTAACCACTGATATCTAGCATCAGGCAATGTATCTGAATACACATGTTGTATCTAGAGGCATATCTGAATATACATGTTAACCAGTGATATCTAGCATCAGGCAATGTATCTGAATATACATGTTAACCAGTGATATCTAGCATCAGGCAATGTATCTGAATATACATGTTAACCAGTGATATCTAGCATCAGGCAATGTATCTGAATATACATGTTAACCAGTGATATCTAGCATCAGGCAATGTATCTGAATATACATGTTAACCACCGTGGTATCTAGCATCAGGCACTGTATCTGAATACACATGTTAACCAGTGATATCTAGCATCAGGCACTGTATCTGAATATACATGTTAACCAGTGATATCTAGCATCAGGCACTGTATCTGAATATACATGTTAACCAGTGGTATCTAGCATCAGGCACTGTATCTGAATATACATGTTAACCAGTGGTATCTAGCATTAGGCAATGTATCTGAATATACATGTTAACCAGTGATATCTAGCATCAGGCAATGTATCTGAATATACATGTTAACTAGTGGCATCTAGCATCAGGCAATGTATCTGAATATACATGTTAACCACCGATATCTAGGATCAGGCACTGTATCTGAATATTGTTTGTGTGGTTTATTGTCTCTTTGAAACATAAATGTGACAATCAAACGTAAGTGCCGATTGGTCTAACACAGCGTTGCTATGCTGGTATACGACAAGCACTTCCGCCATTAAATAACAGTTTGTGAATTTTCACTCAGTCTCCGAGAACCTTCTTCTGATTAAAACAGACTGAGCCAGGGTTGTTAACAAACCTACTACGGGACTTGTATTATCGTTCCTTCCGTAGAAGGTCGATGCTTTCTTAATTAATGTACTCGGATAAAGGGGTCGCATTACCAAGATGAAACACGTAATGGATTACCGATCGACAGATTGTCCAAGATCCCGTCCATTTTCAGATGTTTGACTGCTTAATTACCTCAGACTATGATGACACTGGTATGATCTCTCAGTACTGGGACCACGTGCAGCTTCCGCATCAACGGTAATCAGTATTCGCTCAAGGAAGGAATCTGTATCTTATATTTACAGGAATAAATTTGCTACCACAGCAGTCATAGATTTTAAAATGGTTCTTTCTAAATCGGCCCTGTTTTCAAATTAGCTTATATGCGGCCAGTATATAGAGGTTCTTAACATATCATATGAAATCATTATGGTATTCGTAGGCATTCCGGGTGAGAATAAAAGTCACTTGCAGCCTTAGTGTGTTGTGTGACGCCCCTCCAAATCCCCGGATGTTGGGCTTGGGATAACTTGGACCTCCATAACACTCTGGGGTGCCGGTGTACTAAGCAGCCCCAGCGCTACGACTATCGTACGTGGTATGTGATTTACGATTAGCTTACCGCGAAGATCACGTTGAGAGGGAGAGAGAGAGTGAGTGAGTGTAGTTGTCACGTGATCACGTTAACACACGTGTGCATATATTTACACCAGGAACATTTGCACTATACCCGATCCGTCGAATTTCTGATTTCAAAGTAGTGAAATGCATTCGACGGATGTGCACTGTGATCTTAACTATTAAATTAGTTATCCAAACATTGGATCATACCAAGAAAAAGACGCAAGGGGTGTTGGGTGGTTTTTGACTCTCTGTATGTTTTTACTGTTGTGCTTATCTTTGCCTACTCATATGATACAATGAGAAATTGATGCAATAAATATATGCCTGGACTCTCTTTATTTTTGTACTTTTGTAGAAAACTGAAATTGATGCATTAACCCTTGTCTTATGGAGGCTATAAATATTGTGATAGAATCGCTTAGTGGTAAACTATCTTAATGGGACGTCGGGTAATCTTCAATTGACCATTTTCCTTTTTAAAAATCAGGTTTAAGATTTAGAAAGAATTTCCATTATAAACTAGTTGTATTATTGCACATACCCTACTGGGGACTGATGGGGTCCATACAGACCCCACTGACAAATCCTTGACCAGCATTTAGAATTGCTCAAGGCAATCAGATTCATTAACCTTTTTTCGTGTCTTCTCACTTGTGTGCCTAGAGCACATTCTAAATGGATTAACAAAACTTATTTGAACTTATGCAACGGGAGCGTGGTGGTGATCACTCTGATGAAAGTGATGGAGGATCTGATGAAGATTATCAACCATCTGAAGGATCTGAGAGCACAGAATCCGACTGTGACCTAGAGGATGACGCTACTTCCAACTCTGACAAGGAGACTGATGATCAAATACAAGCTCCTGACAGGTATTTCAGCTGTGATGGAAGACAGTGGTTCAAGGACCCAATGCCATGAGCTCGAACGCCTCAGAGAAATATTATTCGCCAGCTGAATGGAAAAGTCACCAATCAAAATCCAGTGGAAGCATACACTTTGTATGTCTGTCCTGAAATTGTTGACGATATTGTCAAATGGACAAATATGTTTGCTGAAACTAAGCTTGGCACACGGTGGAAGCATACGCTTTGTATGTCTGTCCTGAAATTGTTGTCGATATTGTCAAATGGACAAATATGTTTGCTGAAACTAAGCTTGGCACACGGTGGAAGCGAAACTATTTAAGAAAACATCAGAGGCCATATAACTATTATATGGTCTCTGAAAACATGTAGTCTAATCCAATACAAGCCGACCCCTTAATTAATGAACTTGGACTCTCCCAGTGTGTTAACACGTTCTCAAATGCGACCGATTAGCACAGAACCACTCAAGCATGATTGGAAGGATCGGCAACGCTGACTGTTCAAAATTCGACGGATTAGGCCGTAACCCAGATTTACATTGTATTTATATGCTATCGTGTTAAAGTTCATCGCAACGCCAGAATATAATATAACCCATACATTTGTGATTTGACAATACCAATCAAATACGCAACATTTCTGTAGTTCAGTATACATCAAGAGCAAAATTCATACGGACATTAAAAGCTGGGCGGTCAGTGTGTTTCAAGGAGCTCAAAATCAAACACACGTTGCCGCGAGTGACGTGTTCAGTTGGACATTGACAAGAAGACATGTCCGTGTTGGTGCCGTGACTGATGAACTGGTGGGCACTACATCATTCACATACCTTACGTACACAGCTTAGTTAGCTTTCACCCAGTACATTAATGTTATGTTAATATTTACACACACATACGTATGTATGATTGCACTTACGTTGAGTAAACGTTGTAATATGAACGGGATATTAGTGGCCACTGTTAGCAGTATTTACATCAGTATGCAAGTATTAAGATATGGAAAAGAATTATATTAACAACGATTTTGTATGGCTGTGTATCACTACCCAATCTCCATGGTAAAGATCTTGAACT